TCCCAGATGAATTCCATGCTAGGATGCACAGATTAATAAACGGGGCATAGGCTGTATTTCTGCCCCATTCACCCCTCAAACAGGTACCCTCGGATAATAAACAACCTGTACAACTATACATGACAGGCCTAAAGCCAAGAGCTCCTCCTCCTGCTTCTCCCTAGAGTTTAGGATCTAATCTCTTATGTCTGGTCCATCTCCTTCTCCTCATTCCCTACCCTGACCGCCCATTGCCTCACCGAGAGTCGGTAGCGCCGGGTAGTCTCTACACGATCCACGGCCCCCAGCCCAGCAGCCTGGCACACTGACACGATGTTGGTGGATGATGGGGTAGAAAAGTTCAACCTGAGCAGTGAGCTGAATGGTTAGTACTCGAGAGTCCCCAGTAGGCCTCAACTGCAAAGGTGGGTCCTGCCCACCACTGTGCAGCCAACCTCCCACTGCCACTGCCTCACCATTGGCCTTCAGCCTTAGACTGAGCACCAAGAAACCTGCTTTCAAACCAAACCAAACCAAACCAAACCATAACTGCCCTTCTGGCAGCAAAATGGCTTAGACTTTATCTTCTCGGAATACAACTAATTTTACTTCTAGAACATGTCTGGGAGCTGGTTCAGTCTTCAGAGGCATCTACCCAAAGGGGGAAAGCATATGCCTGGCTTCCTGGGTAGAGATTCCTTCCTGAGATTACTTTAAATCTCCCAAGGATCCCAAAAGAAAGCAGAGGAATGGAAGCAGGAGTGGGCAGTGTGTTTGAAAGGATCATATGTCTTGGGATGTGGAACATGTTGCTCCAGGATGAGACCCTTACCGGGGCCCGACCTCCAGCAACAGGTCACTGGAGCCGAGAAGGAGCCAGGACTTCTGAGCAACATCATCCAGCAATAAGGGGCAGCCAAACAGCCACATCAGCTTCTTCATCTCCTCAGCATTTGGGAGGACCTCAGCTGCAGAGTCAGGGCAAGAATACCTTGAGACACTACCTCTGGTACTGGGACGCCTTCCCTAAGAATCCAATACCTGGGCCCAACCTGTCCAGTTCACATTGTAGCACAGCTCAGTCTCGACACCCTGCAGCTCTGGCAGTTTCCTTTGTAGTTTCCTTTGAGTGTGTCCAGTGGCTGCCCCCTCATGGCCAGAGGGACGGACGTAGAAATGAAAGATAGGGGTCATCTCTGCAGTTATCCTCTGCCGAATAGATGAGTTAGGTTCCTAAAAAAATAACACAACTATGGCTTACCAGTTAAATGGATTTCAAGTTTCAAGGATAGTTCAGGCACTAGGAATGGGATAGGAGAAAGTAATAGGGGCATTTACCTAAAAAGTGTAATATTGGGTGTCGCCCGGAGCTCCATGGGTAAGGCACGGGCCACATATACCAAGGCTAGCAGGTTTGAACCCAGCCTGGGCCAGCTAAAACAACAATGACAACCACAACAACAACAACAAAAATAGCCGGTATTGTGTGTGTGGGGTGCCTGTAGTCCCAGCTACTTGGGAGGCTAAGGCAAGAGAATCGCTTAAGCCCAAGAGTTTGAGGTTGCTGTAAGCTGTGACACCACAGCATGCTACTCAGGGTGAAAAAAAAAAAAAATCAACCAAAAACGTAATATTGGGGATTTTAACTAACCCTGCAAAATGTGAGCTTTAGTAATATGGGTGGGAGGTGTACACATGTTCCTGAAACATCTGTACTTTGCTGGGCCCCAGGCAACGTCTTAGGAACACTGCTGTGAACAAGATAGATACCACTTCTGCCTCATAGAATTTATATTTTATTGAGAGAGACAGGTAAATTCCAAACACTTCCTATCTAGTGTGGTTAAGGTCAAGGGACTGTGGGCACCAATCCAGCATTTTAGGAGTTGGCAAAGACCTCCTGGAAGAAACACATCTGCCATGTACTGTGTTCCCCCACTTTCCAGTTATGTTGAAACCTTAATCCTTAATGTGATGTTATTTGGAGCAGGGGCTTTTGGGAGATAACCAGATCATGAGGGCAGAGCTCTCATGAATGGAATTAGTACCTTTATAAGAAGGGGCCAGAGAACTTTCTGCCATGTGAGGATATAATAGAAGTCTGTAGTCTGCTACCTGGAAGAAGCCCTCATCAAAACCTGACAAGCCTGGCACCCTGATCTCTGACTTCACGCCTCCAGAACTAGAAGAAGTAAATTTCCGTTGTTTACACATATAAGCCAGTCTGTGGTACTATTTTATAGTAGCCCAAACAGAAAAGATAGTATCTAAGCTTAAACCTTGGACTTGGACTAGACCCAAGTGGTGAAATCAAATGAGTTCCTCCATTCAAAATATTCTGTCCTTGCTCAAGATAAATGCAAAGCCCTTAACTTGACACTCAAAGGCCCTCCACATCTATCCCAAACTATTTATCTGCCTGGCATCCTCTCAATTCTTTTGCTCCCCTTCTAGAATGCCTATGCTTACCCCTATCTTATCGAAAGCCTTCCCATTCTTTAAGAAGAGTACAAGTCTCACCAACTCTGGGAATTTCCATTTGCTACTCAAGCACTCAGGGACACCCTCGCTCCCAGCAGAGTGGAAGGCTTCTGAGTTGGACTGTTAATTCAGGAGTGAAAATACACATAGGGATCAAAGGTAGACACTGCCTCTTCCCAAGGAAGCAGGAGATTGAGCCAATAAAACTGCCAGTATTCAACCATTTTTTGCAAAAAATGATAATCTCAAATGATTTGAGCTAATGCCACATATTTGCCAATGGATTCCATAATTTTACCCAGTGCTGATTCTTCTTGAAACTCTAGGCAAGCATTCACATAAACATTCAAATGCTTATATGACATCTCTGCATAGATGTCATAAACACAGAGACTAGCTGCTATGGCCAAATCAGGAATTTTGATTTATCATTTCTCCAGATGTGCTTTTGCCCTAGTTTTCCCCATCTCAATAAACACTACCATCATTCAATTAGTTGCTCAAGCCAAAAACACAAGAGGCAACTTTAATTCTTTTCCATACTCTCTAAACCTAACCCATCAGCAAATCTATTTTCAAATGTATCTAAAATTACTCTTTTCATTTCTACTACTTCACTCTACCAGGGGTGTCCAAACTTTTTTCTTCTCTGCTGTAGATTAAATACACAAACACTAATGTAAGCTGTGAGCAAAAAAACAAAACAAAACAAAATACCCTTTTCGTGACATCTGACACCACAGATAAGCAAAAAGGCCTCACATAAACCACATGCAGCCCATGTGCTGCAGGTTGGACACCCTTGCCTAGTTCAAGCCACCACCATCACTCACCTGGACTAATGCACTGGCTCCCTGATTCCACTCCTTCACAACAACAATTTATTTGCCAAATATCAGCATAAAGGATCAGGACCTCCCAGTACACAAAGTATAAATTCCAAGTCAGCATCTTGGCTTACTGGGTCTGGCCACTCCCTGGTCTACCTCTCCAAACCTATCTCACATCATTCTCTTTCTCATTCACTATGTACCAACCACACTAGCTTCTTCTCTATTCCTCTAACTTGCCAACCTTAGTCCCGGAATGCATTTTTTTCACCATGACATATGCAGGGCTACCTCTTTCTTGTTAGATTTCAGGTGAAATTCACCCTCTTGGCAAAGCCTTGACTAGCCACTCTTAAGCAACCATTATCAGATGGCTTTCTAATTATATTTAGAGAGAGACAGGGTCTTGCTCTCTTGCCTAGTGTGGAGTGTAGTGCTGTAATAACTCACTGTAATCTCAAACTCCTGGGCTCAAGCGACCCTCAGGTGTGCACCACCACACCTGGTTAAATCCCACCCCACCCCCCATTTTTTTTGTAGACATGGGAATCTTGCTATGTTGCCCTTACTGGTCTCAAACTCCTGCCCTCAGGCAATTCACCCACGTTGGATTAAAGTCATGAGCAATCACACCAAGACCCTGATGGGCACTTAAATTTCCCATATAGTACTTTCATTATCTGATATTTATTGTCCATTTTGTACTCCCCACTGGAACAAAATCTCCACGTGGGCACGGGCTGTAGCTGCTTCATTTCCATTGAATTACCAAGAAGCAAGAAAATAAAACTTGTTGGCTAGGTGCAGTGGTTCAGCCTACAATCCTAGAACGCTGGGAAGCTGAAGCAGGAAGACTAACTTGAGCTCAGGAGTTCGAGACCAGCCTGAGGAACATCTCTATTAAAGATAGAAAAACCAAAAGAAAAAAAGAAAGAAAATAAATAAAGAAAAACTAGCCGGGCCTCAGGGCGCAGGCCTGTAATCCCAGATATACTGGGTACTGTGATGACACCATTGCATTCTACCTGGGGCGACAAAGTGAGATTCTGTCTCAAAAAATAAAATGAGATAAAAAGAAAATTTGTTGCGTGACCGAATGAACTCTTGGTTTTCTACAACTCCTCAGCCCATTTCCAGGACAGTATTCCTGAAATCATTGTTTATCTTGGCCACTAGATTTTCGTCTAACACTCGTAATGAAATGTAAGAGCGTGGGAACAGGGCTATTTCCCCAACGACCACACAAAATAGACAGCCGACTGCTGAATGCAACAATGGGGCAAAAAGGCTGCGTTTACATGGTTATCAACCATGCCGGAGTCTGCGGAGCGTACGCACGATCAGATGGATGCTTCCACTAAAGCAAGCGTGCAGGCCACAGGTGGATGCAGCTCAGCCTGGGTGGGATTATTAGATTAAGTTTGAGGTGGGTGACGAACGGCTGCACCTGGCAGGGGGGACCCAGGCACGCGCGAGAGAGATATACTCACGTGGAAAAGACTTTCCCGGCCTCAGAACTCATCGAATCCTGGCGCGCCGTGTACGTCATCCGCAAGCGCCGCAGGCGTAGAGGAAGCCGGCCGCGCTCTGGTGACTCTACCCTACCTAATTCCTCTCTCCGTGGGTGGGGCCTTCGTTGCGCGGAACTTTGCGTTCTTGAGGTGGGGGGGGGGTTATCATCTAGGTGTGGTTTCTCCTACGAATCTGCTCTGAATTAACTTTTGTAAAAATACATTCAGTTCCTGGTCTAGTTAATTATTACGTCAGTGAGTTAAGGCCATAACACATTAAGGAGGAATCACTTCCCAGCTTGACATGATCAGGGAAATCGAAAGATGCTTAAGAGTTATACGTGGGCTGTACTTGAGCTTGCCCACCCCATCCCACGTCAAGGCCTGCAGGGCGTCAGGTGAAGGTTCTCAGATGTCACCGAGAAGGAAGATGGGCATTTCTGAGAGTGGGAGCAAAGTTCCGAGGAACCGGAAGATGCCGCCGGGGGAGAAGCGGGAGGTGAAGTCAGGACGCGCCTCCAGTGACGTCACTGAGGGGGCCCTCCGGTGAGCCTCTGCGCCTCCCAGGAGCCGAGCTTTGTCTCATCATGGAGTTTTGTCAAGTTCAGGCTCCTACCTCCGTGAGTGCTCTTCTGCGTCCCTTGTCCTTTTTTTCCTTGTCTGTCTTGGATTTTCTTTCTCCTCCTGTTCCCTCCACCTTGGATCTCTGGGTTACCTGACCTCGCTGGCTGCGCCCGGGCCGAAGATAGGGGGCTCTGAGGAGATTTGCTATTTCACTTACTGGTTCTGCGAATATTTTTATTATTTTCATTCATGCAGCGCCCACTGTGTTCCTTAAACACGTCTCCTTTCACTCTCTACGGTTTAAGCCTCATGGGAAACCAGGAGCAGGTTAATGGGGGAACTGTGGGGCTGGGGGAGTTCCTGGAGGGGACCCCGACACAGATACAGGACAAAATGAACCAGGAAAAGCTTCTGAGACCCGTAATGCGTGTAAGAGTTAGCGAGGCAAAAAGGCGCTGAAAGAGGTTTCATGCGGAAGCAAACACATATTCAAAAGCAGAAGATAGAGCAGGTGTGTGAAAAAGTCAAGAAGTTCAATTGGCTGGGGTGAACGGTTCAGCGAATTTAACCTAAGGATAACTCAGAGTTGGCAGGTTTTAAGCAGAAGAGTACTGGATGAGATTTAGGTTTTAGTTTACTGAGGTAGCAGCGTGATGAGTGGCCTAAAAGGTACCGTTAGAAGACTGTGGTTGAAATACACTAAGAGGTGGGTGACCTCGACCATGGTAGCAATGTTGAGGTTCCAGAAGTGAAGACAATAAAAAAGATATAAGAAGAGAGAATCTGAAGCATCTTTTGTAGGGAAAGGAAGGGGTTAAGGAGGACATCCAGGTTTCAGGGAAGAAAAACTACCAGTGGCTCGGCGCC